CCCCCCCCCCCCCGCCCAATCCTCCGGTCCCACCTGGCTTCCCATCCCTAGCTCGGCCATTGCTTTCCTTTCAGGGCCCTGCGCTACCTCTTCCGTGGGATTCCTCCCCAAGGTCACAGCTCAGGCGGCCTCAGCTTCACACCAGGACGCCAGCCTTAACGACAGCCTCACCTGGCTTGTTTCAACTCCGCTCCTCTTCCCCCCAGCGCTTCCTGGTACCGGGCCCGACGGGGGTTGGTCCTTCTTCTGGTCCTTCCCTCTTCCCGCCCCCGTCACGGGACCCCGCCCCTCCTGGGCCGCCCGGCTGAGCCGTCTAGAACCCTCTGACCTCAGGCCTCAGGCTTTGGAGTTGAGGGCAAGGAGCTGTCCTGGTGGCAAGACTGCATAGCAGGCCTGGGGTTCCCCAAGAGGCCTCTTTGTACATTCTCACCACCCAGAGAGCCTCAAGAGAGCTTGGGTTTGAAACCATCGCACCCCAAAGGAGATGACAGTCCCCCCCCTTTTTTGAACTTTTTTATTAATATATTTTTTTGTTAAATTTCTTTGTATTTTTTTTTCCTGCAAGACTTGGTGTTGGCGGCACTGTTGTAGTTTAACTTCAATCCCAAATTCCATGAAATAGAAATCAGAAGTAAAGGTTTAGAGGGGAGGGAGGGAGGCAGGCCAAGGAGTAAACAGAGTTTGACTAGAAAAAAAGAAGAGGGTATGTGTGGTGGGCATTCCCAGGCAAGGCCATTCCTTGAGGGAGGGGGTTGGCAGGCAGCTTGGCTCTGCCTCATGCAGGGGAGGGAGGAAAGATCCCCTGGGGACCCTACAGAGGGGTCCCCCTCTTCCTAGGGCTTCCTGCCCGCAGGGGAAAGCTATTAACAGGGATCAGCCACAACCTCAAACAGGGCTCTCCACCCACCTCTCACCCTGCTTTGACTCCCACATCTGCCCTGCCTGGAAAGTGTGTGAGAGATTGGCTTCCTTTGATCCCTCTTTCTGTGGTTTTCCCATTTCACAAGATTCTGATGTAACGGGGGAAGGGATATAACCCACTTAGAGACTACTAAACTTGTCACAGCTTCTGCTGCTCTGCCAGTTCCTGTTATCTAGGCTGGTTGTGTTCCCCAGCAATGCCTCCCCCCACCACCCCCACGCCACAACTGCCAGAGTTGGGGAGTAGGGTCCTAGCTCAAGCGCTTCTAACCCTCTGCAGTGGAAATGTCTTCTTCAGGCCCCTTAGAAATCTAATCAAAGGCCACAAGTGAGTCCAGACCAACCAAATAAACTTTTAGGGGGAGAGACGAGGGTGGGAGAGGTCAGTGGGTAGATGTGACTGCATTGGACGGTTTCTTTCCTTTACACATTGCTCTTGACAAGGCATGCCACCCTAGGGGGTTGGACGAGGGGCTGGCTGTTGAGGAAAGGAAGAGGGAGATCCTAGGGAGTCATTCTACTTTTCATCTCCCTTATCTCCTTCAGGGAAGGATGGAGTTAGGCAAGAACCTAGCTCACTGCTTGGAGGTGAGATAGGCTCCTCCAAGGTCAGAGATGGAGGCCGTACCTCCTCCAGCTTTTTCACTAGGCCTCGCAGGGACACCAGGCCCCTTGGGTCAGGGAGCCACAGCAGCTCAGCCAGTGCCTTGCCCAGTATACAGTCATCCCTTCTCCATTTTCTTCTTCCTTTCCACTCAGCTTCCAGGAGACTCCTCAGGACACCAAACCCCCACCCTCATCGAAGTTCAGGTCTAAAGAAAAGGCGGGGAAGACACGGGTCAATGGTCTGACTTAGATTTGTGTGTCTCAGAGAAGAGAGAGACTCTGAGCGAGAAAAGCCCTTCATATGTAAACAATCTAGAGAGAGAGGTGGGGTGGGGTGGGGGAGAGAGTGAGGAAGACAGAGACAGAATAAATGAGAGAATCTGAAAGGACAGCTGGAAAAAAAAGCGAAAGACAAAACCAAAGGGGGACAGAAAAGAAACGGAAGGAAGAAGAGAAAGAAAGATAGGAGAAAAAACAACCAGGTGGAGGAAAAGAGAAAAAGGCAGGTCAAAGAAGTGAAGAGGCAGCAACCGAAGCCAGAACTAGGCTGGGCAGGAGCCTCAGGTGAGGAGCTGGGAGAACAGGAACGCCAGGCTGAGGTCCAGGAGGGCCACGGCTCCCACCACCAAGGGGTTGGCAGCTCCCTAGAGAGATGGGGGGGGGAAAGGCAGTCTCAGTCCCTGAGGACCATGTCCAGCGACAGGTCCCACCTTCCTGCCCTGGCAGAGGTGGCAAAGCTGAAGGGTCCCAGGCACCTCTCCCCAGAGGTCAGAGCAGGGGCATCTCCAACCTTTTTTGGGTTGCAAAAAAACACCTCCCTCCTGCCAGGCAGGGCCCCTCCTTCCCTCTGGCTCCCTCAAGTCGGGAACGGTCCTTCCTCCCCCTCCCTCCGCTCCCCGCCCACTAGCATGTCACGTGGCCCAGGCAGAAGGTGCCTGGCCTTAGTAGCAGACGTTGGCAGCGGCAGTCCGTACTGCAGTAAAGCAGAGAGGGATGAAGGGGTGAGGATGTGGTTGCTAGGAAACAGGAGAAGGCCTGGAGTCCAATCAGAGTAGAGGCTTCTGGGAAAACTCCACCCTTCCAGGTTTTCTGCCTCCTTTCCCATTTCCCTTCTTCCCAGGAGAGGGAGGGAGAGTCAGGGTAGGGAGGGAACAAGCTTTTCCTTTTTTATTTCTGGGCACCAAAGAGAGAAAGTGTGGAGGTGGGGGTGGGGGTGGAGTAGGAAACCAGGAGCTGGAAATGATATGGAAGGAGAACAGGGAAAGATGTTTTGGCTCGACCATTCCTTATTGGTAAGCCTGGGCAAATGACTTTAAGGGCTCTGGGCCTCAGTTCCCCCATCTGTCAAATGAGGGAGCTGGAGGTGAAGGTCTCTAAGGTTGCTTGCAGCTCACAAGTTCCTTATTTTTTATTTTATTTATTTATTTTTTTAGGTGGGCTATGGTCCAAGAGTGGGCAGGCAGGAAGGAAGCTGAGTCCAAATCAGAGCCCCTGAAGGGATCAGAGAGAGGTCTGGAAAGGATGAGAGGCAAGGCTTTGAGGAGAAAAGGGGCCACAAAGTGGGGACGGAGGGCAGCTCACCGGCTGGGCGGGCCTCTCGGTTGCAGCAGGCTCCTCAAGCTCTTCTGTCAGGCACCCGGCCTCAGGACCCCTTGAGGCCGGGTCCCTCAGGACCGGTGTGGCCATGCGCTCAGGCTCCGAGCCCCCTGGGGTTCTCAGCTGGGGCAAGGGCTCTTCGTCTTCCCCTTCCTCCTCTCGAAGACTTCCGGAGCTGTCGCTGCAGCCCCCGAGGAGTGGGGAACCGTCTCTGGGCCCCGGCCCCTGCATCCCAGCCTCGTCCTCGGCCTCATAGCCAGCTAGTTCCTCTGCCTGTTCCCCGGGGCCCCCCCACTCCTCGGGCCAAGCTTTGGGGCTGGAGAAGGGACCTCGGTCCCCTCCAGGAGGCAGTGGGCTCCGGCGGGCAGGGGGTCGCCAGGGTTGGCGGGAGGACACAGGACTGCTGGGCAGTTCAGGGGAGCCCTCTGAGGGGGTCAGTCCATTCTCGTATACCCCAGGGCTGTCCTCATCCAGGGGTTCTGTGTCGGAACCTTCCGAGTCCTGCCTGGGTCTGCGGCCTGCGGCAGGGAGAGCTAAGGATCAGAGAGGCCTGACTGGCCTCGGGCAGCAAAAGCTAGAGCTTTATCCCCCCGTCTGAGCACCTCCCAGGCTTAAAGCCTCTCACAGCCAGACCCCAGACCCCAGACCCCTAGTCCTTATTACCCTATTTTATAAATTCCCAGTTCCGCTCCCCAAACATCTGCGTCTGGCCCCCACCCTTGTCCCCTTGGACCCGCATACCTTGGTTTTTTCCATCCCCAGTCCTCTGCAGGGACTTCCTCCCCTTTCCCCACACCTGAGCCCCTCCAGCTCCCCAGGCCGCCCACGCCTCACCTGGGGCCTCTAACATGGGTTGCAGGTCCTGGGCTATCAGTTTGGCCATTCGAGCTGCCTCCACAGCCTTCTCAGCGACACTGCTGGCTGCCACTGCCTTTAGAAGGGCATCTGCCGCCCTGTCGGGTTCCGGGGACAGGGACTTAGCAGACCTGCTCAGATGCTCCAGCCCCCTGGTCCATGTCCCCAGCACATCATGTCCTCTGGATCGGAGGTCACCTCTGGAGGGCTCGGTCTTGCTCACCTTGCTCCCTGGCCTGGCGGGGCAGCTGGCCTCTGCTTACCACTCCTAGACCTGGGCTGTGCCTGCTCTCATCACACTCTCCGGCTCCCCTCACACCTGCCACCTTCACGTCCCTTCTTCCAGCCACAGCCACCGGCCGCCCTCCACTCTGTTATCGCAGTCCCATCCTGCTCCCTTCCCAGGGACAGATGAGACCTCATGCCCTCCGCACACCTCTCTCGAGTCACACCCAGCAGCTTCGCTCTCCCTGCCCCTTGTTCTGGGCCACCCGCTCCCTGTGCCTGGAGCCTTTGCCTCCTTTCCCGTTACCACTGCTAACCCCCCTAACGTAACCCTGCCCCTTCCCTGCAGATTTCCTGACGTGACAGTTTCACAGGCTCCTTCTCTTCAGCCTCGTCTGTTACCACACTCTTCTCACCTCTAGGTCACTGCCCCTTCCTCCTTGCACCATCGCATCCTTTCTGAGCTCTCGAATTGGGGTAAGCTTGGGTTCCCCCCTTTCTGCTCTTTCTACTCCCTCTCCCAGCCACCATGCGTTTCTCACCGTTGTGACTATACCTTCCAAGGAAACTCTTAGTTTCCTTCCCTTCCACGTGCCCCTCCCATTGTGCCCTGCTCCCCGGGTACAGGCAGCCTTGAAGCACTATCGGTCCTTTCCCCACGGTGGTTTCCCAGTTCTCCCTCTAATGTCAGATGCTTCCTCAGTTTCCCCTCCCTTTCACCGTCTGCTGTTAATCGCAGATGCCCGTGATCATTCAATGAGTTCTGTAATACTGACTGAAGGTGGGGCACAACGGGGCAGAGGTAAAGGTAATCAGATATCCTTGGGCTTAAATGGATCCAGACCCCTCTGCTGGCCCCAGGCTTGTTTTATCTGGCTTAGGAAGGCAGTCTGGGTACCGGGGTAGGAAGAAGGCTGGTGGTGTTCACTGTAGTCTTAAGGCTACCCCCTCTTTATGTACCTAGGGAGATATGGTCAGCCTCCTCCCCTCAAACCTGCTGGGTCAAGGACTTTTCGAGCCTGTTTGGAGGGACCTCAGATAACCCTGTTCTTCTCTCTTTGGGCTGTCAGACTCTATATAACTAGCCTTGCCCTGAAACTAAACTGGTCTCAGGGTTTAGTGCAAGGGATGACGATCACAGTCTTGGGTTGCATGGAGTTCTGTCGGCAGCCAAAAACTGCAACAGTGACAAGAGGCTGTGTTTTTGAGTTTGGAGGGTGTAGATGAGCAAGTCTGAGGCAGTAGATCCAGTCATCAGGCCAGGCTCAGGCTACCTGGCAGAGGCACCTGCTGCTGAGGCTCTGCTGTTTCCATGGCAGCTGGCAACCAATCAGGTTTGCCAGGCCTGTTGCTGGGGAGACCAACCAGCCTCCTCCTACTGACTGATCTTTCAGCTGCTGAGATCAGTTTTTCCTGCCCGTGCCTGTTCCTCATCTAGACTAACGTGCTCCCTGGTGCCCTGCCCTCCCCCTTCCCTGGCTTAAGGTCCTGGACTCTAACCACCTAGACACTGAGATGTAGCTACAGATAGACATCTCTGGCTCAGGCATCTACTTTGGGTATGACACATTCCTACACAGACACCTTGGTCACCCCTTTACAAATTCACTGAAGCATATTTGGACATATCTTGGTATCTGATCCTCTGAAGCAGTCTCAAATTTAAACAAAATCCTTCAACTGTACCCTCCTTTTTAAAGAAAATCCAATATACACAAATTCACATGTATGAGTTGTATAAATCAGAGGTCTGTGAACCTCATTACAAATGGGTTTTTGGCTTTCTTTAGATCTGTGCTATCTAATCCAGCACTTAAAATGTGGCTAGTCTGGGGGCACCTGGGTGGCTCAGTGGTTAAGTGTCTGCCTTCAGCTCAGGTCATGATCCCAGGTCCTGGGATCGAGCCCTGCTCCGCGGGAAGCCTGCTTCTCCCTCTCCCACTCCCCCTGCTTGTGTTCCCTCTCTCGCTGTGTCTCTCTCTGTCAAATAAATAAATAAAATCTTTTAAAAAATTTATAAAAAAATGTGGCTAGTCTGATCTGAAATGATGCATATAAACATGAAATATATACTAGATTTCAAAGACTTAGTAAAAAAAAAAAAGGGAGAATATAAAGTCCCTCGTTAGTAATTTTATGTTGATTCTAGGTTGAAATGATCAAATTTTGGATATATTGGTTTAAATAAAGATGTACTATTTATGGGGCACCTGGCTAGCTCACTTGGTGGAGTGTGGGACTCTTGATTCCGGGGTTGCTTGACTTCAAGCCCCATTTTGGGCCGAGAGCTTACTTTTAAAAAAATGTAATAATTAAAATCATTTATCTGTTTTTATTTTTTCACATGGCTACTAGATTTAAAATTACATATTTGGCTTACATTATATTTCTACTGCACAGTGCTACTTTAGATAATAAGATAATGCATGGACATGTAATCTGATTTACGGAGAGAAAATTTCATTTACAGGCGGGCCTCCTCCCCTCAAACCTTCATCAGTTGGGTAAAGGGAGGCAGAGGAAGCAAAGCTGAGAGCAACTATCTTCTCAGGTGGATAGGTCAGCTGTACAAACTAGATCTCCCCAAGGCCCAAGGCTGAAATAACATCAGTCTGTGGGCAGGCGGGGATGTGGCTAGGAATACACATTCCTTGTCTCTCTGCCCAGGGCTGCTCCTCCCAGCTGCAAGAGGAGCACTGGGGACAGGTTTCTGAGCCTGCACAAGCCGGCGCTCCTTGCTACTCCCACACACAACATTGACACACATCCCCACAAAAGACACTAAGACACGGTTAGAGTCTAACACGGCTTCCCTCAAATACCCAGCCACCCACAGCTACACCCACATCCACCTGTAGCCTCAGATATAAACACTCCAAACACCCAGGGCTACAACTGCTTGGCCTTAGGCCTGCTCTTCCCCACCAGGTCCTAAGCCTTGGGTCGTGGTCCTCCTTTAGGCACTACCTACCCCCACCCCCGCCCCGCCAACTGTCCCCAGGGTACCTTCTCCACTTAGCCCAGCTTTGGCCTCTGCAGCGGATGCCCACCTGGCAGCGGCGATCTCCTGGCGCTGGCGGGCAGCGCTCACGGCTCGACGGGCGCCTTCGACAGCCCTGTCCACCTTCTCCTTCACTTTGCCCCGGCGAAGGGCCAGAGGCAGGAGGCTGCGCACGCGCCCCCCGTGCACCAGCCGGTTGCGCTTGTACTTGCCCTCCTCGCGGGAGCCGTCCGGGCGGGTGGTGCGTCCGTAGCCGTGCCGCCGGTTGCCCAGCCACTCGCCCTCATAGCGCAGCCCGTTGGAGCGCTGGCTCACGCCGAAGCCGCTGCGCCGGTCGGCGCGCCATTCGCCCGCATACACCTCCGTGGCAGAGCCCTCGATGAGGGCGGGCGGAGCTGGGGCCGGGGGCCCGCTGGCCTCGGAGCCCGGGGGTCCTGTGCTGCCCACCTCGCTGCTCACCTCGCTGCGCAGGGAGCCCCGCTTGCTGCCCAAGGAGCTGCGGCGCCCGCCCGCCCGGAGCCCGCTGAGCAGCAGCGAGCGGCGGAAGAACCCGCCGGCCGCGGGGGTGCGCTTTCGGGAGGACGCGCCGTCAGCGTCCCCCGGCCCGGCCAGCACGAAGCCGCCCCGGGAGCCCGAGGCCGGGCTGCCTCCCTCGTCACCCGGCAGGGGCAGGGGCGGGGGCGGTGTCGGGGGGTCGCTGTGGCCTGAGTCCAGGGAGGTGCGGCGGGGGGAGCGCAGCAGCGCCGCCTGGTGGTAGGGCACGCTCTGGCGTACCCCGTAGCCGTGGCGCTTCCCGGCCTGCCACTGGCCCTGGTAGGTGCCTGCGGGCGGGGTAGGACGGGGAGAAAGGGTCAGGACCCGCTGCTTCCTGCACCCTCGGCCCCAAGCGCCCCTGGAGGCCTTAAGTGTTGGGAGGGAGAGGTGGGGGCAGTTAGCGTGGAGGTCGAGGAAGAGCACTAGGATCGGGGACGGGCCAGGTTGGGTCGGAAGGTGTGGAAGAGCAGAGCGAAGACCGACAGATAGCAGCAGGAGATCTGTGGTTTTGAGTCGTGCAGGTAGACAAGCGAAAGGGGGAGGGCCCGGCAGGCTGGGGTGTGTGAAGGACAGCTAGTCCAGAGGGTGTGAGGGACAGGCTGATGGGGGGTTTAAGATAGTCATGTGACAAGCAGACAGGACGATGAGGGGCAAGCTGACTGAGGAGATGTGAGGGGACAGGCAAGAGCAGAGGTGTTAGGGACAGGCGGGTGGGGGGAGAGGGGAGGTGTGGGACAGCCAGAGAGGAGGGGTGGAAGGGACAAGCAGATGGGGGGGTGAGGGTCAGGTAGATGGGGGGTGTGAGGGACAGGCAGACAGGGAAGGGGTGAGGGCAGGCAGACTGCAGACTGGGGAGAGGGAGAAGCAGGCAGGGGCCAGAGAGTGGGAGGAAGGAGTGCGCGATGGGAGGAGAGGGCGGCAAGATGGGCGCCGGGGGCGCATATGGATGGGGGAGGCGTACAGGAGAACAGCGGGGCAGGGGGCCGATGGCGGGGAAGGCGGACGCGGGACAGGCGGACGCGGAGGCGCACGCGGACGAGCAGACAGACAGTAGTGGGCCGGGCCCCGCACCTCCGTCGGAGTAGGTCTCGGTGCCGTAGCCGTCCTGGAAGCCGTCCTTCCAGAGCCCGGCGTAGCGCAGGCCCGACACGCTCTCCCACACGCCGCTGCGCCCCTTCAGCCCGCCCAGCCACTCGCCGCGGTACGTCCAGCGGCTCTTGCGCTCCACGCCCAGCCCTTCGCGCTTGCCCTGCTGCCAGTGGCCCTGGTAGCTGTGTCCGCCGGGCCCCGTGAAGACGCCCAGTGACTCGAAGCCGTGCGCCCAGCAGCCGCTGTACTCGCCCTGGGCGCCGGGCCCCGTGCACACGCCGTAGCCATGTGCCCGCCCCGCCTCCCAGCCCCCCACGTAGCAGCCCCCGTCGTCAAAGTCGAACTTGCCCCCGGGGGACATGCATGTAGTTGGCGCGGCCTCAGCCCCCCGGCGGCTCAGCGCATCCTGGGGCTGGAGAGCCGGCTGGGGGCCTGCGAGCCGGGCGAGGCCTGGGGGCGGGGGCAGTTAGACCGGGGCCGGGCGGGGGGGCCCCAGCGCGGGCTGGCAGGGCTGGACCCTCATCCTGAGTGGCTGCGGAGAAAGAGGGGGGAAGTGGCGAGCGAGGCCCCTCCTCTTTGCCCGCCGCTCCCTGGCCCAGTGGCTCCGGGGCATGAGCACCGCCCCCCAACCCCCCACCCTTCGGCAGCGTCTTCCAGCAGCTCCTAAGCTTTGGAGGCATGGGGGCTCCCCCCACCCCTCCCTCCCTGTAGAGGACCCCTCCCAGGACTTGGGGCCCCAACCCCAAGCGGTAGTCCCGCTTCTCCAGCCTAGAACCCCAAAGTGTCGAGTGTGGATGACAGTTGCTGGCGGGGGCGGTGGAAAGGTGGTCCTCAGAGGGGGCTGGGCAGAGTCGTAGGCCACTCGCTCCTCTGGCTGCTGTCAGGACCCTTCTGCCCTGGTTCTTTGGCTTCCCAGGCAAGGGGTGGGGGTTGGAAATGTGAGGGGGGGCATCGGAGCAAGGTGGGCAGTGGGTTTCGTGGGAGAAAGGATGGGGATGGAGGAGGCTCTGCGGGAAAAGGCGAGGGTGGGGATGGGCAGACAGGCGGAAGGGAGGGGGCAGGTTACTCACCATGTGGGCTGGGGCTCAGGCTGCCTCCCAGGCACAGCATCCATGGCAGGATACCTCCACTCCCACCTCGTCCCGACAAGCCAAAGCCCCCTCCCCTTCCGGAGAGACTGCTCCTACCCAGAGACCGAAGGTGGGGGAGCCGCAAGAGAGAGTCCCCTCTCTACCCAGCTGGAGGAGCAGGCGGTGGGGGTGGGGGGCGAGGTAGTGGCAGGGGTGGGGGGGGAATGAGAATAGTGGAGGGGAAAAAAAAATCTGCCTTGGATGGAGATAGGGAAGAGGAGCTGGGAACTGGATGGGAAGAGAGAGGGGGCTATCAAAAGGGGGTGTTTTTATTATTTTTTTCCTTCTTATGGTTGGGAGAGGAAAAAAAAAATCAAAATTCCGATTCCATCCCAGCACAAATCAATGTTTGCTCCATCCCAGCATCACGGGGGAGGCTGGGCCAGGCAGATTTAAAGGGGCAGGGAGAAGAGAGAAGAGGAGAGGGTGGGGAGAGGAGGAGAGGAAGAAGACACAGTGGCGATGTTAGCAGTTTGGGGGGGGGTGCCCAGGCTGGAAAAGATGGGTTCCCGCTAAACCTGAGGTGAGGGAGGAGGCAGGTAGAGGGGAGAATGAGAGGCACAGAGACCCCCAGGGTGGAGAGAAACCCTGGGATGCCGGCGGGGAGTGGGGTGAGACCGAGGGTGGGGGGGAGAGAGAGGAGGGGAGCAGAGCGAGAGGGAGGAGACAGAGCTGAAGATGGGGAGGCTGGGGGAGGCCGAAGCCAGGCGGGGGAGGAGAGATGCAGGCGAGGCCGGGAGAGGGCGAGAGGAATACAAAGAGAGAGGTGCAGGGGTGAGAGCTAAGGAGGGGGAGATGCTGCCGGAGAAGGAGGGAGGGGGGAGACCCATTCTGGGGCTGCTGAGGGTTGGCAAGGAGGAGAGAAGCAGGGGAGGAGGGGGAGGGGGAAAGAAATAGGGAGAGTGAGAGCGAATAAGGGTTGTAAGGAAGAGAGAAAGCGCTGCACGGGGAAGGGCTGGTATGGGCATGGAAATCCAGGCGGAAGAGCCCAAGCGGAGGCAGGAGGGCCGGAAGTGGTGTTTGTGGGCCTCCAGGGAGAAGGATGAACCTGCCAGCTGCTTGGACTGAAGCCAGGAAGCCTTTGGAAGCCAGGAAGCCTGTGTCCTCCAAGTCCGCCGTCCTCCCTAAGTAACCACAGCAGGGCGACCAGAAGCCTCCCTTACTTGCACTTTTTGAGGAAGCTTGAAATGGGGCCCTGCAGGAAGGCTGGCCCCACTAGCGCTTATCCAGACCCCCCCCCCCACCAACGATTTCTCCCTGGGTTGTACCTCTGAAGGGGAAGGGGTGGCATGAGGGGTGAATTGTTTTTGAATGGGGAACAGGGGCCATGCTTGGTAGTGCCATGAAGACTCTGGGGCTTTGGAGCCTTTTGCAAATCTAGAGACTAAGACACATAGACATGTTGGGGTGGGCCCTTGCTGTGGCAAAGCCCCCTTCAGCCTCCCACCCTCCAACCACTCACGAGAGGGGCAGCACATCCTGGGCCTTATTGTTTACAGACAGAAGTAGGCACAAACTATCTTCCCTGCCCTTCAGCTTACTTGCTAAGATGCTGCATCTATCCCACTCCTAAGCATTTAGGAGGGAGACACTGTCCAATTACCCACAATGGGGTAAATAGACGTACTCAATTGCTTTCATTTTCGTACAAAGTCTGATCCACTCCATTTCACAAAGAACTGAGGCCCAGAAAGGAAAGTCACTCACTAGAGTCACATGGCAGAGGTGGCAGAGCTAGAACACTAGACTTTATTTATTTTTAAGATTTTATTTATTTGAGAGAGAGTGAGCAAGAGAGCAGGAGCAGGGGCAGAAGGAGAAGGAGACCTTCCGCTGAGCAAGGGACTTGGGGCGGGCTCGATCCCAGGACCCTGGGGGTCAGGACCTGAGCCGAAGGCAGATGCCCAACCACCTGCGCCACCCAGGCGCCCCAGAACACTAGACTTGAGACCTCTGAGCTCTGTAATTCCTCCCAGGATTCCATGTACTTAGGAACCTCCCTCAGACTCAGGAGCTCCATTTTGAGTACTTTGGTAAGATAGTGTGAGGTTTGGAATAAACAGGAATGTCCCTTGCAATTTATTTTCCTAATGGTGGATACAAAATTGGAGAAATGTGTATATTTTTAAGTCTCCAGGGCAGGGACCACATCTTCAAAGTCCTTTGCACAGAACAGGGCAGCTGTGGGTCTACTTGGGCGAAGACTGGTGATAGAGAAGTCCTCCTTCCCTTCCTTCCTCCCTCCCTCCAGTTCTCCATTTAGCGAACATTTACATAGTTGGCTGTGTACCAGGCACATTGCTAGGTGCTAGAGATACAGTCTCACCCTCATGGAGCTTACTAGTGAAAAAGACAGATGACCAACAAGCAACTCTAGTGTAGTTAGTGCTGTAACAGGTTGGAGGGGTAGAAATAGGGAGAAGGGATGGAAACTAACTTAGGCTGGCTCTCTAGGGAAAGAGGCATTTATGATGAATCCAGAAGGGATTCTGGAGCAGGCCAAGCTCCATCGCTTTGTTCATCCTTAGATATTCAAGCCTTCTTTTCTCCAAGAAAGAGGGACAACAAGAGAAGAAAAGCAACCTATAGGCCTGGTGAGACCTGTGCCCTGTTCTTTAGGAAGACAGGGTGGGAATGGTAATGGAAGGTAGGGAGCGATGCCTTATTGGTAGAGCGACTCTGTACTGAATTCTAGGCTGCAAACCAACGCGTAGGGCTGAAGAAGTCACTGACAGAAGTACCTGGAACTTGGGCACACGGTCCCAGCCACCTCCCTGGGTGAGGCAGCCTTCCAGCCCCAATCTGTTTCTGTCCCTACAGGTCCTATAATCCCTTCTCCTCAGGCAGAGACACTTTTGGAAGGTGCACTGGTTTTTGGCACAATTTGTCATGCTGGGGTCCTAGAAAGGGGAACAAGGATAGAGCAGCTCTGTGCTCGAGCCAGGCACTGTGTGCGGCACTTAGCCTGCATCACTGCATTCAGTCCTCCCACAAACTTGTAACCATAAGCAGCCCAGGCTGGAGGCCGAGATCTGGGCTTTCACAGATGGACAGACCTCTGTCTGAATCCCGACTCTACTGCTTATTAGCTGGGTAACCCTGAGCACATTCCCTAACTTTCTGAGCTGCAGTACGCATAGCTCTAAGAGGGGAAGATGCTAATCTACTCCAGAGCTAATTGTGAGGACTGAAATAATCATGTATGAATAGTGTGTGGGATTATATATAGGGGAAGACCCTTTGGGCACAGTGCGTAACACATGGTAAATACCCGGTAAATGGTGGCTTGAACAATAGGCTGGCATTATGCCAGCTTTATAGGTGCGGAATCTGGGACCCAGAGGTCAATTGGCTCAACGTTGCACAGCTAATATACGGGAGTCCTTGGAGTTGAATATAGCTCAGACTCCCAAGTTGGTGCACTTCAACAAAGGCAATTTGGGGCCCTATTTATAAAAGTAAAACATGCTTATTGTTGAACTAAGAAAATAAAGGACTATATCAAGAATAGAAATCACCCCTAGTCTCACTGTATAAGAAACATATTAGTGTATTTTCATATAGTTTTCCTTCTAGGCGGTGTTTAATATAATTAGTTAAATTAGCATATCCATTTTGTATCCTGCTTATTTGCTTTGCATTACACTGTAAGCATTTTTCTATGGCATTGAAACAGCCTGGAATTTTTAATGGCTGCATAATATTCCACTGTTTGGATGCAGCATGATCTGTTTAGCCATCCCGGCATAGCACTTTTATGCTGTTTGCACAGTTTTTTGCTACTAAAAATTAACATCTTTTATACAAATCTTTGCATCTCTGATGCTTTCTTTTAAAAATGTTTTATCATGGCAAATTTCAAACATAAACCAAAGTAGACCAAAAAAAAAAAAAACAACCCCCCCAAAACAAAAAAACAACCCACAACAAAAAAACCAAACCAAAAAACAGAATAAAGAAGTCCAATGTACCCATCAATCACCAAGCCTCAGCGATGATCATGCTCGGCTCATCTTGTTTTTTCCTTTCCCATTCAATTCAAATTCTGGGTATCATGTTATTTGAGTGTTGATTTTTTTGAAGTCGGATTCCTAACAGAAGAATTACTGAGGCAGAGGGTAGGAACACTTTGTAAGATTTTGGATTTCTTTTGCTCGGATCACTTGCAGAAGGGTTGTGCAAATTTGTACTCTCACCCATTGTGCTGGAGAGTGCTGGTCTTTTGCACCCTGACCTGCACTGACCTTTAGTTATAACACACACACACCCCTTTTGTAACACACCTTTTGCCAACTTAACAGGTGACAGTGCTTTCTTTATATACATTTGTTTGGTTGCTGGACTTACACTGAGAAGTCACCTGGGGACTACAGCGGAGTAAACCCTCTTGAGGGACTCCTAGGAAACACGCCAGTACTTCTTGGGGCTCCTTGGGGCGCCTGGGTGGCTCAGTCGTTAAGCGTTTGCCTTCGGCTCAGGTCATGATCCCAGGATCCTGGGATCGAGCCCCACATCGGGCTCCCCGCTCTGCGGGAAGCCTGCTTCTCCCTCCCCCACTCCCCCTGCTTGTGTTCCCTCTCTCGCTGTGTCTCTCTCTGTCAAATAAATTAAAAAAATCTTTAAAAAAAATACTTCTTGGGGATCCTAGCCAGGACCTGTGGGGTGGGGGATTCCGTTTTCCTGCTATGCTGGGACCAGGCAAGGTGGAACTTGGGAAGAGTGCTGGCCTCATCCCATGGGCAGCCACCAGGGGTCAGGATGGGGCCAGAGATCCTGATGGTGGGAGCGAGGGTAAGAATGGACAGCAGCCAGACCCTGCATTTCCTCTGTCTGGCCACTGCTGGCTGCCCACACAGCTCCCCTCTGCTGCTCAGACAGTGATTCCAGAATCTTCTGGATGGCTGTCCCCTGCCTGATCACGCCCGCCTCTCTCTGCTCCCAGGTTTGGCTTGCTGAAAAGGGAAAGGTGTTTGAGAACTCGGTTCTGCTTCTTTCTCTATACTCTCTGTGGGACCGAGTTCAGTAGGAAGCAGGGATTTTTAGCCCGGGGTCCATGGACTGAGGGACCCAAAGAAAATGGACAAGTGAGGCATGGATATCCATTTCCCACCCTTTCCTTGGGGAGAGGACAATATTTTTTGTGAGATTCTGAAAGGTGGATCCGCGCCCCCTCAAGTCCAGCATTTTCTGGTACCTCCTCATCCCTCCTAAGCCCATTTGCTTTCTGTGGGTGTTGTGAGGGAGCAGCTTAGTGTTGGAGACAGGGGTGGTCTCGGGGGTTATGCTAGGGAGTTGGACCTTCTGTATCATCCAATGGAGCTGAGAGAACGAGCCTGAATTTTCCCTAGAGTGGGATAGGATGGGGGAGGGGAGGTGGTCTGTACTCCAGCCACCCGAGCTGTCAGCGGGGCTGCACTAGATTTGGCTACACACTGAGGTACCCCTGCTCACACCGAGGTACACGTGTTTATGTGCTTTAAATGACTGGCACAGGGAGCAGAGGATCGGGGAAGCAAGGCTGGTCCCAGGCTAGTCTTGGAACCCAGACCTCTGAGCCATGGGTGGTGGCAGGGACAAGATGTACAAGAGGTAGAGGAAACCAGCCAGGTTACTTTCGGCCAGGGCGCTGCTCTGATCTTACTTCCCCACGGCGGCCTCTAAGGGACAGCCGCTGCGCATGCGCATCTGGGCGGTGGGGTTAGGGCCCCTGGGATTCTCAGAGCAGCGCAGGCTAGCCCCTGTGTAGTGAGAGAAGCTGGGGGCTCGGAGAGGCGGAGTCAAGGCCAGAGTCATCCAACACAGCGGACATGAAGGAAAAATAAATTCCACGTTTAGTACTCCATTTTATCTCATAAAAATGGTTTCTCTCCGTACATTAAGATACAGCAAATTGTGTTTGGCAGCCAGGCGAAGGGAAGGAGGCAGCCGGTTTGAACCACAGTGTTCACGCTTATGTGCATACAGGACATTGGACTTCAGGCTTCCTGGTTTCTGGTGTTCACTCTGGACTCAGTAGTTCACCCGTCTTATCTTCCAGAGTAGTTTCACCTCTCGAAACTGCAACTGCTTCTTCTCACAGAACTTCCTTATTAAATGGGGAAATTGGCCCATGTTAAAGGCACATTCACATCTAGGGGACTCTCTCCGATGAAAATAGAAAAATTGAAAACATCTTAAAAGTGACATCTTTGAAGAAAACTGGGAACGACTGTTCCAAATGCTGTATGCCAAGAATAAGTGCGGGGAGATTTCCATACCTGTGAAATTCATTTTCAGGTAAAGAGTTTCCTTCATCTGCACCGCCCCCTCCCCCCCCCCCCCCCCGCCGGAGCCTGCAGGGGCCCCAGCCTTTCCTCCCTTGCCTCTCCTGCCAGTCCTCCCAGACCCGGCAGGCACTGATGCGGTTCCTGCTGTTTACACTCCAGGTCCTCCTGGGCAAGGTTGCTCTTGGTAACCATAGAGACCGGAACGGGCCCCTTCACAAGTGTTAGGTGGAAGAACACATTTACCTGTCCAATCTGTTGTTTGATTCAGAGCTTCCCAGCAAGCCTGCACTAGGACGCGATGGTGCAGGCTGATCCATCGAGTGAGACGCGGAGAGGTTGAAGTGGATTTCGCCTTTCCGTGAGAACTGGGCAGCCAGCACGTCCCGGTTCTGTGGCATGGATCGCTCTCCAAGCAGAACACGGGACTGTACACCTAGGGCAGCTCTGGAGTTTCTTACATTGTATTATTGGTGGTTGTGCTGCACCCCCCACCCCATCTCCCACCCATGGGCCCTAGAGGGCAGGGACCCTAATTTGGTGCTAGGCAAAGCCTGAGGAGCAATAAGAAGCCAAAGGCAGTCACATGACCTCTGGGGCTGCTGGCCTCTTCCCAGGTCCCAACTGGGCTTACTGGGTTTTCTGGATTCGTTCTGAAACCCAAAGCTGAAGCTACTCCAGCCAAATAGGCACCCTTGTGAGGGGGAGGCAGCCAGGGAGAGGGGAGATGGGGTGTGGGGGTGCAGCAAAACTGTGACAAGCTGGGGACTGTTCCTTCAACGGCGTGGGAACCTGCTGCAGGAAGAAGAGGGAATGCTGGTGGGCGGGGGACAAAGAAGCCCAACACACTAGAGGTTGGGACGAGCCTCTAGCAGCTGTGGTAGCTCCAACTGGGCTGGACCCTCCTCCCCTTGGAATGCACGCATGCTTATAAAACCCACTATCAGTTGGGTTGGGGATCTGGTCAGCTTAGGGTGGGAAGGGCAGAAGGCCTGGGGCCCCTGTGGCCCGGGGTGTGGGGTGGTGGTGATGGTGGGGGGGGGGTGGCGGTGTGAAGTCACTTGACATTCAACTGTCCAGTAACTCTTCATGATCAACGCGACATGGATGTTAGGCCTGAGCTTGTCCCCAGGCTGAACACAGGTGGCCAGGGCCCCTGACAAGGCTCCAGGGGGCTCTTCTCAGCAGCCTGGGTGTCTGAGCCGGTTCTGGAGTCTGTAGTTTGTGTCGTCTTTGGGAAAGTTGTGTGACTTCTCTGGGACCGAGATTTCTTATTTGTTCTGTTGGGCATAGTCACGCCTCGTGAGCGTGAAGAGCATGAAGCTGCACAGCCTGGGGCAGAGCCTGGTAGAGTGGATGGGTCCTTGCTCCTGGCCTCCCATTCTTCCCTGCCCCTGCCTCTAACCTGCTGGTTAGAGGCCGTGCGGCTAACACGGGGCTCTCTGCCATAGTGTCTGGGCTGGGGGCTTCGTCCCCAGCTCCTGCGGTCCCTCAGAGCCTTTGGCTGGTTGTGTCCAGTCCGCAGGACTCTGCCTGGGGGCTCTGGGGCAGGAGGCTGGATGCAGAGCCCCAGACCCTTGGGAATCCTTAAGGCTGGCATCTCTAAGCATTGGAGAAGGAGCCTGTTCCTTCCTCCTCTGCAGGGTAGAAACTGGCTCAAGTCTCTGGTCCGACTCAGCCACTCAGTGTCTCCTGCTTCAAGGTTTCATTCTTTCTGGACCCAGGGCTCTACAGGGACTCTCTTCTCCATTACCTACAAGGAAAAGGGACAAAGACTGGCCGTGGGCCCCTTACACTTTGGCCGTGCTCTGACCATATGGGACCCAACCTGTCAGGAGGTAAGAGGGGAGAAGTTAAAGACCCCTTGACTCCCTGCACAATTCTGTCCACCCTGGCCCTGCTTATCTTCACTTGTGTGCAGACAGAGACTAGGCCGCCAGGCCTGACCCAAACTGAATCCAATGATTTGGGGCCATAGAGAAGACCTTTGTCTGGCAGGCATATGTCCCAAGACTGCAGCTGAGAGGTGGAGAAAAGCCGTCCGTGAGAGGATAAACCAGAAGGGGCTAAAAAGAGAGATTTGTGCCAACAGCAGCTCGGTGCAATTAACAAAAGATTCAAGCTTCAAGTACTTATCCGAGACTCTCTCCTGGCGCTCTTTGTTAAGTTTTTGCGCATGGTCGTTGCTGAATGAATGACAGCACTAAAAGCACAGCCAGAAGAGAAGAGAAAACACTGAGAGAAAGCGCTTATGGAAGGACCAGGCCTGTGTGCAGCTCGGGCTGTAGGGCAGGTGGGAAGCATTCGAACGTAAGGCAACTGTGTGGTACAGGGCCTAGTATGTACCAAACATGGCACAGTCCGTGTCCCACTCGTTGTGGGTCAGATGTCACATATTCCAGGATTGCCTGGTTTGCCACACGGCATCATACTACTAATTCATGGTTAGGGTGTAGCCAACTCTGACCCACAGCTTTTCTTCTAGTATTCATGGTACCCAGCCAGTTGAGCACCAGCCTATATTTTTGGGGTTGGACTTTTTTTTTTTTTTGAGAGAGAGAGAGAGCATGAGCAGGGCTGGGGGGCAAGGAGAGAGGGAGAGAGAATCTTAAGCAGGCTCCACACCCAGCAAGGAGCCCAACATGGGGCTTAACCAACGGAGCCATGCAGGCGCCCCCTTTTTTTTCTGACTTTGTATTCCTTTTTTTTTTTTTTTAAGATTTTATTTATTTATTTGAGAGAGAGAGAGAGAGAAGGGGAAGTGGGAGGGACAGAGGGAGAGGAATAAGTAGACTCCCGGACCCTGGGATCATGACCTGAGAGGAAGTCAGACACTTAACCGATTGAGCCATCCAGATGCCCCTGACTTTGTATTCCTATCTATGGCAACATTGTTCTAAGAATGGAGGGATCATCTTCACCCCCTACAGTGTCTTCTCCACACCGTAGTCACAGGCAACCTTTTATAGTGAGTATCAGCTGCATCACTGCCCTGCTCAAACCCTCCACTCAGAGCAACAGTGGAAGTCCTCTCATGGCCAGGAAGCCTGACCCTCCCTGACTTCATGCCTATCCTTCCTGTTGGTCTGTCCACTCTAGCTTCACTGGTCTCCTTGCTGTTTCCTGAGCTACAGCAAACCCCCTATCTCTTGACTCTGCCTTAGTTTTCCTTGCTGTCCAGAACATTCTGTCCTCCCCTGTTCCTTTAGGTCCTGCTCACTTTTTGCCTTCTCACCTTTTGTCTGACCTGTGGCCCAATAGGAAACAAGCACCGCATCCCATATTCCCTGACCTCACCTTGCTGTATTTTTTTTCAAAGCACTTGTCAGAACCTGTCCCTTTGTGTTTCTTTGTGGATTGCCTGTCTCCCTCCACAGGAATGTAAGCTCCTTACAGGAATAGACTTTTGTTTGTTTTTTTAAGATTTATTGATTTAGGGCCACCTGGGTGGCTCAGTCGTTAAGCATCTGCCTTCGGCTCCGGTCGTGGTCCCAGGGTCCTGGGATCAAGCCCCGCATCGGGCTCCCTGCTCGGCGGGGAGCCTGCTTCTCCCTCCCCCACTCCTCCCCTCCCCGCTTGTGTTCCTTCTCTCGCTGTGTCTCTGTCAGATAAATAAAATCTTAAAAAAAAAAAAAAGATTATTAATTTGAGAGAGAGTGTGTGAGAGAAGGGGCAGGGACAGAGGGAGAAGCAGACTCCCAGCTGAGCAGGGAGCCTGATACGGGGCTCGATCCCAGGACTTCAGAGTCAGGACCTGAGCCGAAGGCAGACGCTCAACCCACGGAGCCTCCCAGAAGCCCCAGGAATAGACTTTTTAATTTAATTTATTTAAAGATTTTATTTTTAAGTCATCTCTATACCCAGCGTGATGCTCAAACTTACAACCCCGAGATCAAGAGTTGCATGCTCTCCTGACTGAGCTGGCCAGGTGCCCTGAGGAATAGATTTTTGTTTTAAACTCACTGCTGTGTCCCCATCACCTAGAGCAGTCCCTGGCACATAAGAGGTGCTGAATAAACATTTGCTGGGGCACCTGCAAATGAATGTAAATCATGAAGACTTTGAAAACACCCCCAGCCCTGTACACCTGCCATGATAGCTCTTACAGGGTGTCCCTGGCTGTCATACAGTGGTCAGTCATCTGCAGGGGCTGAGAGGTGGCCAATGGTGACCCTGCCTGCGCTCGCCTACCCACAAGGGGGTTACCGGACAAGGGGCCCGATGCCCAGTAAGCCAAACACTGACACTGGCTTTGTGGCAGAGAGGAAGAGTTTTACTATAGGGCACCAAGCAAGGAGTCAGGAGAAAATTTCTCAAATCCACATTCCTGAGGATGCAGGGAGCTGAGTATTTATGGGATTTTTTTCCAGGGGTGGGGTGGGGTGGGGGAATGGAGCTCTTGAGGATGGATGTAGGTGATTGGACGTTGGGAAAAGGTGAGGTGCAAGGGAAAAGACATCGCTGATTCTGTAGAGGTGCCACCCAGTGACATGGTTGTACTTTCGTCATATGTATACAAGATGGCGACACCAGCATGGCAAACAGGGGAGGTCTTCAGGTATCATTACGGAGATTGCTTTCAAATACAGGGGGCCCAGGTTAGTTTGAATTGCAAATAACCCAGGAATAAGTTTTTTAGTATAAACATGTCCCATGCAGTTTTGGGGATATACTTACACTACCAAATTGCTTTTGGTTTATCTGAAATTCACATTTAACTGGGCATTCTGGTTTGTTTGCCTTTTATTTGCTAAATTTGTCAGTCTCATAAAAGGGACATCAAGGAGGTGCCAAGATGTGGAGTAGAACCCAGATCCATTGGCAGCTTGCTGATGCTCCTTCGAGTGTGCTGTGACACCTTTGTGAGTCAGAGCTCATCGGAGGATAAGCTAAGGAGCTCTGAGAGCAGAGTGTTGGTGGCTGTTATACTGGCAAGTGGACTTTTCTCCTGATAAATGCCTTTGCAGCTGGTCAAGCTTTTGAGATGTTGTGGCGAAAAGGCTAAGCAGGGAATGAATTGGAGGGAGGTTATAAAATGTTGTAATGGGAATTTTTGCTTTGTTTTTGAACACACATATGTCTTCAACAAATTGTGGCCTCTGGAGTTAGGTTAGCATAACTCTCCTGCAGCATCATGGACCTGGTAATGCTTCCCGTGCTTCTGAGCTCTAGCCTGGCCCCTGTCTGTCTACACCACCCCATGGCTACCAAAGGCTATGGTTACTAAGCGGTTTCCTTGGGGTGTTAACAGGTCATTGCCAGACTTTCTTCTCTATCATCTCTTTTCCTCCCCCTCAGGGGAATGCGCATATAACCACTTTCCCCATTGTTTTCCCCACTTTTGTCTTATGAAATTTCACCATGGTCAATATCTTCTTCAAATGGACAGACCTTTAAGGGTTTGTTTTTTCCCCCTTTTTTTCCTCTTAGGTGTTTTCCTTCTTTTCTTCAGTGTTCCCTTTCTTTTTCTTCTCTTTTCATTTTTTTTCTTTTCTTCCCTCTTGCAGTTTTTTGCCCATAGAGAAATCTCTCTTGCTTTTTCCATCTTCCCACTCTGTGAACCAACCAACCTTCCAAACGACCAATCAGCCAACTAACCTATCTGTCTTAGTCTGGTTAGGTCACTATAGCAAAAATGACACAGACTGGGTGGCTTAAACAACGTTTATTTCTCACAGTTCTGGAGGCTAGGAAGTCCAAGATCAAGGCACTGGCAAACTCGGTGTCCATCGAAGGTCTGCTTCCTGGTTCATAAACGGCTGTCTTCTCGCCGCGCCCTCACGTGGTGGAGGGAATAAGGGACCTCTCTAGAGTCTCTTTTATAAGTGTACTAATCCCATTTATGAGGGTTCCACCCTCATGTCCCAATCACCTCCCAAAGACCCCACCTCCTAATAGTATCCCATTGGGGATTAAACTTCAACATGAATTTTGGGGAGACACAAACATTCAGTCTAATTCCAGCACCAACCAAGAAACCAAGATTGGAGGATGCTTCAAACTGGTGTAGAGACCAAAGCAAAGTAATGCACTGCCTCATATAGATCTCAACTCTGTGAAGATAGTCTCTTATGTTGTAGGAATTCAGCTTTGAGTCATTTATGCCTAGGAGAAGCTGGGGAAGGGTCACCACTGGAGAGGAAAGGGGTTGGAAGCATATTGGGATCCAGGACTATCAATTCCCATAGAAAAATCTTATTTTTATAAAACATCATACCTACTGGTGTTTGCCCTCAGTTTGTCCTTTCACTTTTTCTTTTAGAAATCAACCCTACTGAATACTGAATACTGAATCAACCCTACAGTATACTGAAGTATACTGTAGATACAGTGAAATGCACACACCTTAAGTATATAGTTCCTGGAGTTTTGACAAACGCATATATCTGTGTATCCACCATCCCAATCAAGATATAGAAAAAAATCTTTCATCCTAGAACATTCCCTTGTGTCCCTATACTCAGACAACCATTGATTTCTATCACTATCTATTAGTTTTGTCTAGTCTAAAACATCACATAAATTGTACTTTTCTTTTGACTTTGCTTAGGTAGTCTTTTTTCATGCAGAGGTAAAAAAGAATTATTATAGTTTTTTGTTTTTTGGGTTCTTTTTCTTTTTTTTTTTTTGAGAGAGAGAGAGAGAGAGAGTGTGTGTGCAAGCTGGGGGGAAGGTTAGAGGGTGAGGGAAAGAACCTTCAGCAGGCTGCAGGCCCAGCACTGAGCCAGTCGTGGGGCTTGATCTTAAGATCCTGAGATCAGGACCTGAGCCGAAATCAGGAGTCAGACACTTAACCAACTGCGCCACCCAAGTGCCCCAAGAATCATTGTAGTTTTTAATGGTTTCATTTTTTTTTACATTTAAAATTTTTTTAAAAGATTTTATTTATTTGAGAGAGTGAGAGAGCGGGAGAGCGCAAGCCGGGGGGGGAGGGGCAGACAGAGAGGGAGAAGCAGACTTCTTGATGAGCAGGGAGCTGATGACATGGGGCTCGATCCCAGGACCCTGGGATCATGACCTGAGCCGAAGGCAGACGCTTAACCGACTGAGCCATCTAGGTGCCCTATATTTAAATTTTGGATCCATCTGAAATTTATTTTGGTGTGTTGTATGAAAGGCACAGATTTAAGTTAGTTTCTTTTCCCCCAGAGAGCTAGCCAGTTGTCTCAACATCGTTTATTGGTAAATCTTTTTTCTCACTGCTGCGAAATGCCACCTTTATCACCTGTAAAGTTCTCAAGTGTGTTTGTATTTATTTCTGAACCTTCCCTTCCGCTCCTTTGATTTCTTTGTTCATGAATTGATGCAACCCTGTTTTACCTGTGGCTAACTTATTTTTTAAAATCTTATATTTTAAAAGCATATTCTGCTCTGTCTCTTCAATGAGCTAATTCTCTCCAAGATTCCTGTACTAGTTATCTATTGCTGCATAACAAATCCCCCTAACACTTAGCAGCTTGGAAATGTATTACTTCATAGTTTCCGAGGGTCAGGAATGAGAACAATGTAGCTGGTGGTTCTGGCTCAGGATGTTTCATGAGGCTGATGTGAAGTTGGTGTCTTCTCCAGACTTGACTGGGGCCAACTGGGTTTGCTCCTGAGCTTGCTCACATGGCTATTGGCAGGCTGCAGTTCCTTGCTACGTGAGTCTTGTCACAGGGGTGCTCACAGCATGGCAGGTGGGAGTGACCCAAAGGAGAAGGGGAGAGACAGAAAGGGTCCAAGACAGAACACTCAGTTTTACGTATCCTTATCTCAGAAGTGACATACCATTACTTCTGCCAAGCCCTCTATCCCGGGGATTACACAAGGTGGTGAATATCCACCTACAAGGATCACAGGGACCATCTTAGAGGCTGGCTGCCACTCTTGCAGGTTTGACTTTCCTTCCTCTTCACTTTCCTGGGATATCTCATCCATTTATGAGGCTGCTGCCACCCATACCGATAGTTTGCAAATCATTCTTCTGATCTCTGACTTGCCCTCCTGAGTGCCAGGATGCTTTATCCAACTGCCTGGGTACCTCCTCTGAAATATCCATAGGCATCTCTATGTGGCTTTTTCCACCCTCTCCTTGGGTGAGCCTCAAGTTGACATCTATTTTAAAATGTAGCACTCTGCACTACATTTATTTGATTTCTCCATTAGGCTGTAAGCTTATCAAGGGTGGGGACTGTGCCTTCATTATTTTGGTGTTCACAGTACTTAACACAGTCCTGGCAGGAAGCTGGTGCTCATTCAAATATTTGGACCCAGGTGAGAGCTTGGGTGGTGGGTGGACACCCACCCACTCTACCACTGTTAGTCCTGTATAGTGCCAGGGACCTGATCCCCAATCCAGCGGGGAGGGCCTGTTTCACTGGCTTTGAGACTGAGGCCTGCAGTCTCTTTTCGGTGCATGTAGAAACATCTTGGTGGCTTTGTACCCAGCTCTGCCTCCCCAGCCAGCTAAGCCTGTAGGCCCCACAGGGTGGGGTCTGGAGCCTGCTTAGACCCATGGGTCTGTTTCTGTTGTGTGAGTGTCTGGGGACAGCTGGACTGACCGGACGGACCATGGGTCTCTGGTAGGTATGATAAGGAAAATTTGCGTCCTAAGATGGCCAACCGAGGCAGCGAGGGCGTCCCAGTCCTTGTCCTGGGGCTCTTCCGGGTTCTTCTCCCTTCTCTGCTTTGCGCATGCGCCCAAAGTGCCAAGTATGTGGAAGTAGATGTATATAAATTGCCTCCTTCGTTTGTGCTTGGGCTCAGACCTTTGGAGACCACTCTCCTCTGAGGACACCGGCATTAAATAAACCTCCGATCCTCCAAGATCTCCGGGTGCCGCTTGGTTTCTTTCGTCAGGTGATCCAGTCCAGGTTCCGAACATCTGGTTCCCTGACTGGGAAACCCAACTGCGCTGGCCCATTGTTGCCACCGGTTTGGGGCAACAATGGGATGGTGACGGAATGAGGGATCGTAACAGAGAAGGCGTGACCTGCCTAATTTTCAGCCGTCTCCCACCCAGGGCACCTCGGGCCAGCCCCGCTCTGCTGTTCCCATGGGACTCGAGGAGACGTGGCAGGTGAAGACCTGGTCCCAACATCGGCCTTTTTCCCCACGGAAGAGGGGGAACCAGACCATGACTGCTCTGAGGTGACTGATGAAGTCTACACGAGCCATCCAGATCTGCGGGATCAAGCCATAAAGAATCCAGAGCTCACGCTGTTCCGTGATGGTAGCAGTTACCTACAAGAGGGTGCCCGGAAAGCGGGTTATGCAGTAACCACAACCACTGAAGTCCTAGAAGCCAAGGCATTATAAGCCGGATGGTCAGCTCAACGGGCTGAATTACATGCCTTAGTCTGAGCCCTCACCCTCAGTGAAGGCAAGCAAGTCAAAATCTATACTGACTCTCGGTAGGCCCGTACATATACATGGAGCCATCTACAAGGAAAGGGGCCTCCTAACCGCAGCAGGAAAAGCTATCAAGAACAAGAAGGAGATACTGAGACTCCTCAAAGCCATCTGGCTTCCAAAGGAAGTAACAATCCTGCATTGTAAGGGACACCAGAAAGGAGACGACCCCACAGCGTGGGGAAATCGTCTGGCAGATGAGGCAGCCAAGACCGCAGCCAGTGAGGACGTGGACAGAGCCCCTTCCCTCACCATGGCCCTAACACCCCCAGAAGAAGTCCCTCCACCCAGTTACACTAAAAAGGAAAAGGAATGGGCCATGGCTGAGGGAGCCACCCTGACTGAAAAGGGATGGTGGATGATGCCAGACGGGCGCATCATTGTTCCAAGAGCAACTGGAGGGCATCTAGTCAAGGAACACCACTGACTCACTCATCTGGGGAAAATGGCATAGAGGCCCTTCTCAAAAAGCACTACTACATCAGTCAGCTGTTGGCACTATGCCGAGCAATGAGTGAACAATGCATAATGTGCTAAAAATAATGCTCAGTCTGTACCACGACCTCTGCCAGGTGTCCAGACGATGGGAGCAACCCCCTTTGAAGATCTAGAGGTAGACTTCATAGATGTGCAGCTGAGCAGGGGGTTCAAATATCTCCTAGTAATAGTATGCACATATCCTGGGTGGGTCGAAGCCTTCCAGACCAGGATGGAACAAAGCCGGGAAGTAGCTAAAGTCCTCTTGTGGGAGATTGTGCCCCGGTTCGGCCTGCCATTAACAATCCATAGTGACAATGGACCTGCATTTGTGGCAGACATTGTACAGGTCTTGACCAAATCTCTCAACATCACCTGGAGACTCCACACCACTTACCAGCCCCAAAGTTCAGGAAAAGTAGAGTGAATGAATCACACCCTCAAGAGAACCTTAGCCAAGTTTTGTCAGGAGACTAAACTCCCATGGCCGGATCTGCTACCCCGAGCTCTCCCCATGCTTGCTGCACGCCCGGGACATCAGGTTTCTCCCTCCCCCGTGCTTGGGAAGCCTTCCAGGAAACTTGCATCAGGTTGGAGATAAAGGGATAAAGGAGAAGCTTCAGGCCCTGGGGGCCACCCTAAATAAATTACAAAAGTACACTTTTGAGAGGGCCCCAGTCCCCTTAGGGTCTCAGGTATACTCCTTCCAGACGGGGGACTCAGTTTGGGTCAAAGATTGGAAGAAAGAAGAAAGCTTATCATTCGGACAAGGAGCCAAGCCAGTGGAGAGTCCAGCCAGACTTCACGAACCCACTCCGGCTTCACCTTCGACGAGACCCCACTGACTGATGGACACCTGCTTACCGTGGTCCCTGGCTCTCATCGGCATGATTTCCCTCATCTTGGAAGTTGGACTCTACACTGTTGCCCCCCCTGACTGGACTTTCCCCCAGAGGCTTCTACCTAAGGTCATGGATCCCACTTTTACTGGCCCTCTGCTGTCTATTCCTGAGCGCATTTCACCATGGTTTTCCTGGCCCCAGTCAGTCCTGGTCTTCTGCTACCTGGTGTGCTGTTAAGTTTATGATTAAGTCCGTATTCACCCCAAGCCTTGCAGTCAACCCTCAGAGTCAAACAGAATGATGCCCTCTAAACTAGGTGTTTAAAGGGGCGTCAAAGGGGGGAATGATAAGGAAAATCTGTGTCCTAAGATGGCCGACTGAGCCAGCGAGTGAGTCCCAGTCCTTGCCCCAGGGCTCTTCCAGGTTCTCCCTGCTCCGCTTCATGCACGCACCAGAGGTATGTGGTAGTAGAAGTGTATAAATTGCCCCCTTTGTGCTCAGGGCTCAGACCTTTGGAGACCACTCTTCTCTGAGCCCCCCGGCATTAAATAAACCTATCCTCCAAGATCTCCAGGTGCCGCTTCGTTCTTCCGTTGGGCAATCCAGCCCAGGTTCCGTAACAGGTACACGCAAGCATTCTGCAGACTATTACTCAGGCAACAAGTCCTCTTCTTTCCCCCAGGCTACTCCCAGCTGTGCGGGAGGCCTTTTCTCATCACCACCTTTCATAGGTCTAGGACTGTAAATTCCACAAATCCCTGAGTTTTTTGGGAAGAATCACAGGGCCCGAAACCCAGCCTGTCACCTACCCACCTCCTTACACTCAGCTGCAGACTCCACAGAGGAAGGGCTCCTGACCTGTGCTCAGGAACCACAAGAGCACAGCCAAGTAAGGCTGGGGCAGGGACAATATGGCCCACAGTAGGGCTGTGTAGCTTGGGGGTCCGTGACACTGGACCTGCCCACCTTCGCTTTTTAAAATTTTTGTGCTGATGCTTCTTTCTCCCTGGCTCTGTGTGCAGCTGCCTTTATTTCTTCTCTGACTCTCCTAACAAAGTTCTTGGGGGCTGTCAGAGCCCTTAGGGCCCCTCAGCTCAGCGCCTCATCTTACCGAGGTGCAGATGGAGCCAGAGTAGGGAACAGACTTGCCCAAATCCCACACCTTCTGTGGACATCTCCCTCATCTCTTGTTCCTGATTTCCAGTGTTTTTCACTATTGCATGTCTCGCCCCTAATCTTTGTTTTCTTTGCTTTTCCCTTTTCTTTTCTCTTTGGTGAAGGCCATACACCTCTAAGATAGGACTAGTTTGAGGGTGTGTCCACTTGGCTTTCCCACCTCCATTTCTGGGCATCTGAACTGCTCAGCATGGTAAGGGGAATCAGAATGGGCAGTGCCAGGCTCAGAGATCACTCTGAGCTCCCGGGACCTGTGGTCGACTCGGGCCTAGCTGGCCCAGCTGACTACTCCAAAGAAAAGCAGAAGTGGGAATGAGGGCTGAGTGAGTGAGAGCCTGGGCCCTTAGAAGCTGCTGTCTCAGGCCCTGGGAAAATGGGACCACGGGAGACAGATGAGGCCTGATTAGTCTCTCTGCATGCTACCTGCAATAGGCCAGGGCTACTTTTCCCTACAAGTAGGACAGCTGTCCTGCAAACCACCTCACGGCAAGGTTAGCAAAGAGCAGGACTTGGTAAGAACCGTTGTAGACCACAGAGGGAACAGCCATAGACTTGCTGAGATGGGACCAGCTTCTCAGAAGTGCCATAACTCTGGTCTTCCAGCAGGGGGCAGCCCATCCTGACAAAAAGCGATTTCTCTTTTTCCTGCTGCCCTCCCAGCCAAGGAGACCAATTCCCCTGACACTTGACGGGGTTAATCTGGGCTCCGTGGCTTGGGGGAGAGAAGTCCCCCAGGGGCCATAACAGTGTTTAGAATCTGGTGTCCTGTTTAGGGAAGGTAGAACAGTCAGAAGCTGAAACCCCTCATCCCCTCAAATTGAAAGGCCGTAAATATGACCTTGCAGAAAGGAGAGACAGCATGAGAGAGAGTGAGCAGGGTGACAGCAGCTAGGACGTAAAGATGAGGGGGTCTTGGACCTGCAAAGAGTAACTTTGGAAATATGGTATCAGGAGAGACATAAATTTGAAACCAAGCTGTCTCTCTTAAGGCAGAGCATCTGGTTACCTTCATCATGACATGGATACAGCTTGATACTTCATCTGAAATATCTCCATAATTCCTGAGCAGCACCCATTCGCTGATCATTATAGATACCGACCCCTAACTCGAGGGAACTGGGTTACATAAGGGTTGGTTGCTAAGGAACAAGGGAGATGCAGTAGGTATGACAAGGGTTGCTTAGTAACGAGGAGTCCCTTGGCGTTGGAGTGGCCAAAGCAGGTCTGGAACTGATGGGGGTCTGTAGACAGTCAGCCCCCACCAGAGCCTCCTGAAAGTGCATGTCTGCTGGCCCCTCAGTCCAGAGCTACCAGCTTCCCGGCACTATCCTGCATGAAAAGTACATCCCAAGTCCCTGAGTGCCCTTGCTGCTACCGTTCCTTCCCACCTGCCTCCGCAGGAAACAGATCAGACTCCCAGATTCAGGACCCTGCAGGGAAACTCCCACTGGGGGAGGCAAAAGCCTCTGGGCTCACAGTGATGTGGAGTTGGGAAATTTGGGGTCTAGGTGAAAGAGGGTCCCCTACACGAGCATCTCTGATGTGTTTCCAGTTCATCGGAAAGTGTCTGCATACCTGAGTCTCCCACGCAGGGTCCTCACCCTGCCTCCACACCTGCGCACACACACCTACAGCAGCCTACCCCTTTCCTTCCAGAGGGTTTCCGGGAGGCCTGGGTCTGCAACCTGGCTCAGGCTCCTCCCAGCCTCCACTCAGTGGGATTCACTTCAGCACAGCCTGGCAAGGACAGCGTGCAGGCATTCAGAACCTGAGTCTGCTCTCTGACATGTTGCAAGCGCTCAGTGCTTGCTCAGGGGATGAATGGGAAACTCATCCTGTCTACTGAATGGTGGGTCTCATATTCCAATTTGCCTGTTCCATAAATAGAGAATTTTCATAGAGAGTTTTCCTGACCCAAGGCTCAGGTGTTTGAAATTCACCCTGACCAGCTCCACTCGCTCTGGGCATCCCCTTTAGGAACTGGCCCGGGAGTGGCTGGGATAGAAGAAAAAGTTACTGACTCTCATTTCTTGTCTCCTCCTGTCCCATCTGCTTCTCAGAGGCGGCCCATTGGTAGGCATTCACTGTCAGCGCTGGGGGCCTCCTCACCAAGCCCACTCTGCCCGCTTCCCCAAGCAGCTGGCTTTCTGCTCTCGCTTCCCCGGGGAGAGGCAGAGAGTGTCATGGTTCGGAGCGTGGGCATAGGTTCAGAGAGATGGGGTTGGAATCCCGGCTCCACCACTCATGGCTCTGCAGCTAAACCCTGC